CTCACCAGCTGTGGGGAATCTGGGAGACTGTGGAGAAGGGCAGGTTCAACAAGGCATTTCTGTCCCGAGGAGCAAACACCTTCAGATGGGGCGTCCACACCTTCAGATGGTGCTTGGGGGACCAGAGGGGGTGCTGGGAATTGAACCGGGGTGTGCTGCAAGCAAGGCAAGAGCCCCTGCGCTAGCCTCTCTGGCCCCAGAAGTGCTCTTTTCAAGAGAGCGTATCACCTGTCCTTCTCCCATGGTCATTGCTGTGATGACAGAGGCTGTCCCTGGGGAGATGGCACACGTGGCCGCGGCTCCCTGGGGTACACAGGCGTGAGCTGTGGAGTCTGAGCACGGCGGTTTCAGTGCGTGTGGCTTGCGGGGGCTGTCTGTCATCCTGCACACACGATTTCGCTGCCGTACTCGCGGGCATTGTACAGCTTGTTCAGGCGCTCGTGTGGCCTGGCCGTGATGCTCTGCAGATCCCACGCTGGGTGGCAGTGCCGCTGAGCTGGCAGCTGGTGGGTGCATGGTGGGAGGTGCTGGGGATTGAACTCACAGCCTCACACTCGCAAGGCAGGTGCTTTTGGCATTATGATATCCATGCCACCACACACACACACACACACACACACACACACACACACTCCTATTTTCTTTGGGAAGGGCGCCATCCCCAGCTATGCTCAGGGCTTACTCCTGGCTCTGCACTCAGGGACTACTCCTGGCAGGGTTTAGGGGACCATATGGGGTGCAGAGGACTGAACCCCAGTTGGCTATGTGCAAGGAAAACTCCCTCCCCACTGTATTATCGCTCCAGCCCCCCAAATACTATTTTTCAAGGCCAGGGAGAGGAAGCTGCCAGCCCAGCTAAGCAGGGAAGCTCAGAGCATAGGGGAAGACTGGGACAAACGTCACCCAAGTCTGAAACTGGTCCTGGACAGAAGAGAGAACTTCGGGCAGGAGGCAAGGCCAGAGGCAGGAAAGGGCCTGGTGTCTGGGGGGGACGGAGACGGGACAGCTGGGCTGGAGCCAAGGGCTCCTGCTGGAGGGAGCATGAACGGGAGAGATCGGAGGAGGCAGCAAAGACATGGAAGAAGAAGGAATAGAAGTCACACAGGCAAACATCATCGGGGAATTCACCACGCCACACAATATTCGGGGGCAAGGACTAGGGTAGGCTTCCAATCAGTGTCGGGCCTGGGGGTCATTCCTACTGAGACTTAACCTAGTGGTGTGGGTCTGATGCTCTGGGGGCCATGCAGTCCTCCTCCTCCTCCTCCTCCTCTTCCTGCTCCTATTCCTCCTGCTCCTATTCCTCCTCCTCCTCCTCCTCCTCCTCCTCCTGCTCCTATTCCTCCTCCTCCTCCTCCTCCTCCTCCTCCTCCTCCTCCCCCCCACAGCCGTCCTTCTGCCTCCCTCACTCTCACTGCCTCCTCTGGAGGGCAAGTGGAGGAGGAGTGTGAGGCTTGAGAACACCTGCTGTTCTCTGGGCAAATACCCCACACTAAGTAAGCGCTCAAATCAACCTTAGCTGTCTCAGTTTCTTGCCCAATAATAGGGCCTGACTCCCTCTACAGCCAGTGCCGTGTCTCTGTCCTTCCAGAATCAATGCCATTTCCTACCCCAGGGCCTTTGCATAGGCAGCCCTTCTGTCTGGACCCTTTTCTCCCTCCTCAGAAATCAACTAATCAGACAGCCCCTGTTTGTGTGTGGTGCCTGGATGGAATCCAGACTTCATGGTATACATGCAAGGCACATCCCTGGACCCTGACCAGTCTCTACCAGATCTCTGTTTATTTGCATCTCCTATCCTGGTCTCTCCTCCTCCTGCCCCTTCCCTGCCTCCCTCCCTTCCCCCACCCCCTGCTTAATTTCCTTCCAAGGCATTTCCCTGAGCTCACAGGGCCTCCCCACACCACACCCCCTGAGATGAGCCCCACAGCTCTATCCGGGCACCGAGAGCAGTCTGGCAGAGAAGAGCTCAGCATTTACTGCTGAATCAATACACGAATCCTCCTAGCAGCCCCCAGAGACAAATATTTGCACTCCCATTTTAGAGGGGGACTTGGAAAAGGTGGTGCTTCAAAACTGGGAGCTGTCTCGAGCCAGGACTGTGTGGCTCCAGGTCTCTCCCTGCCCACCTCTCTCTTTCTCTCTCTCTTCCCCTGCCTGCCAGTGACCACCCCCCCCCAGTCCCAGGTACTCTGCTTTTGAGGGGGCAGGGAGGGGCTCAAGGAGTAGCGGGAGATAAGAGGGGATTGTCAGTGTTCCCGGGCTGGAAGTGTGAGCTCGGGTGGAGCCTGGCTGGGTCCTGCTGGGGCCCCTTCTTCCTGGGGAGCTGAGGGCCACCTGCCCTCTGTGGCTGCCCAGGGTGGTGGGGAGAGGGGGAGGGGCGAGAGGGAGCATGTCTGCTTCTGCATAGCCTGGAGTCCTTGTGTATGATGAGGGTTCTGTTCTCGTGACCTCATTTACCTTCCTTAGCTCCTAAAGGCCGTCCTCAGACGCAGGCACACCTGGTAGGCAACGCTGCAGCCTGGGGACTGGGGGATGCAGCTTTGTCTCACACTGGCCGCGAGGAGGGGGTGCTCACCTTCACACCCTATGGTCCTAGGTACCTTGGCACAGTGGCAGTCACACCCCACAGGCTCCCCACTGGAGGCCTTGCTCCCCATTGTACATAAAAATGGACTGATTTCGGGTGAGTGTATATGCCAAGGCCTCCAGCTGGGACATGAAGGGCCCATCTCACCCCAAAGCCTGTGCTCTTGACTACTCAGCTTGAACAAGGCCGGGAGGTAGGGAAGTAGGGACAGCGACATGTGGCACAGGTGGTAGAGCACGTGCTTCACATGTGTGAGACCCTGAGTTCAATTCCTGGCATAGTATGGCCCCCCCGAGTATCCTTATAGAGGGTGGAACGATAGCACAGTGGGTAGGGCCTATGCCTTGCACATGGTCGACCCAGGTTCAATCCCTGGCATCCCATATGGTCCACCAAGTACCGCCAGGAGTAATTCCTGAGTGCAGAACCAGGAATAACCCCTGGGCATTGCCAAGTATGACCCAAAAAGACAAAAAAAAAAAACTCTTATAAAAAAGAAAGAGAGGGGCGAAGAGATAGCAGAGGCTAAGGCACATGTCTTGCATTTGGTAGTTCCGCATTCCATTCCCCAGCCCCCCAGATGGTCTCCTGAGCCCCACCAGGAGTGATCCCTGAGTGCAGAGCCAGGAGAAAGTCCTGAGCAATGCTGGGTGTGGTTCAAAAACCATAAAAGGAGAAGAGAAAAGGAAAAGAAACAGGCAGGAAACATCTCCCTTGGCCCATGGACCTGGAGGGGTGTGGCTCACCCTCCAGCCCAAACTCCTAGCACCGTCCACCGTGGGACAGGCTCCGCACACATAGGGAGTGCAGGGCACGGAGGCCAAGTGTGCCCCCCATCAGTGAGAGCAGGGAGTTCCCGCAGAGGAGGGGAGGTGGGGCCAGAGCGCTAGCACAGCGGGTAAGGCGTTTGCCTTGCACGAGAATGACCCAGGTTTGATCCGCAGTATCCTGTATGGCCTCCCCAAGCACCGCCAAGAGTGATTCCTGAGTGCAGAGCCAGGAGTAACCCCTGAGCACAACTGGGTATGACCCAAAAGAAAAACAATAATAAAATACTTAAAAAAAAAAAAAAGGAGGGAGAAGGCAGACAGGCCCAGAGTGTGCCCACAGTGGCCTTTGTGTGCTTCTCCTCGGGTCAGGGCCCTGCTGACAGCCTGCTGCCCCTCCAGGCCCCTCACATGGGTGACTGGATGATCTCTGGGACCTGAGAACCACCCCCCCCGCACCCTTGGCCACAGAGCTCTGAGAGGGCCACTCAGCTGGCCCCATGCCCACAGCCCCAGTGCCAGGCTGGCCCCTCAGCAGAGGCCTCGGGAGGAAGGGGTCTCTGCGACCAGTGTCTCTGCTTCCCTGGGGGAGCTGGTGTTGCTCCCAGCCAGCTCTGGCCGCTCCCCAGGGGAGTCCCACGGGCACCAAGAACATCTTCTCTTTCCTGGCAGCCTGAGTCCCAGGCCCCAGAGGATGGGGAGACTCTTAATGCGAGGGTCACCGCAGGCTGCGGTTCAGTTCCCTAGATCAGAACCGTGCTCCGTTCCACAGTCAGCCTGCAGGGCATCTCAAGAGTGCGTCTGTTTGCTCTCCTCTCTCTCCTGGGGAGGATTGGAAGGGGTGGGAAGGCAGAACCTAGGGGGCTAAAGAAATTGAAGGGGAAGGACCCCAGGTCCTCCTATGCTGGGAGTGGGGAGGTGGGCATCAAGGCCAGAGCTGAGCTCAACAGGGTTGGCTGCTAGCAGTGGACAGGCCCACTGAGCCCATGATCTGGATGTTGACTGTGAGTGGGTCAGGATGGTCCGAGCAGGGTCCTCGAGATGAGTGCAGGCATTTGTGGAATATAAAGTAACATAATAGGAGACTAACACCGAAGGACTATAGAGATCAAGGCCAGGAGGATTGCACTGTGGCTTGGAAACTGGCCTCATGAGTTGGGGGAGAAGGCAGCTTGGATAGAGAAGGGACCAGTAAGTCTTTGATGGTTGGAGGTATCGCTCGGGATGGGAGATGTGTGCTGAAAGTAGACTAAGGACCAAACATGATGGCCTCTTAGTACCTGTATTGCAAAGCATAACACCCAAAAGATGAGACAGTGAGAGAGACAGAGAGAGAGAGAGAGAGAGAGAGAGAGAGAGAGAGAGAGAAAATGTGTCTGCCACAGAGGCAGGGGGTGGGCAGGGGTGGGGTGACGGGAGGGACACTGGGAACATTGGTGGTGAAGAATAGGCACTGGTGGAGGGGTGGGTGCTCAATCATTGTATGACTGAAATATAATCATGAAAGTCTGTAAGTCTGTAATTGCATCTCACAGTGATTCATTAAAAAAAAAGAAAGACAAGTGCAGGGCACACTTGGGCGCTCTAGGCCCGAGACCTCACCCCTTCTCTCTTGGTCGCCCCACCCCCATCCCTGGCTACAGGTTTTTCATCATCAAAGAGAGCTTTCTGCTCTACTACTCTGAGAGCGAAAAGAAGAGCTTTGAAACCAATAAGTACTTCAATATTCACCCCAAGGTGAGTGAGGCCATCCTGAGGGGATGTCTTGGGAGAGGAGGGGACAGCCTTGTTTGGCCAAACAGCATGTGTAGAACAAGACCCCCTGGAACACTTGGTGACGTCCTATGCCCCTGACCCTGGGGCTGCACCCCACGACCTCCACAATCTCCTTGGCCCTCTCTCTGCACTCCGGGCCTTTGCTTGTCTCTGCCTGCTGCTCTGAGCAGGCCCTGAGTGACCAGCATGGGGGGTTTGCCTGTCCTGGTTCTTCCTCAGGGTGTCATCCCTCTGGGGGGCTGCCTGGTGGAGGCCAAAGAAGAACCCAGCATGCCGTACGCGATGAAAATCTCCCACCAGGACTTCCACGTGAGTGATGCGCTCCCCGGGGCTGGCCACGACTTCCCTGCACACCCACTCCAGTGGCCAGATCTGAGGGGCATCAGTGCAGCGGGCTGGGGGTGGTGGGTGGTGGGTGAAGGGGCATGTCCTCCGCTCAGGTCCTGGTTGTCCTCCCGGCAGGGCAACGTGCTGCTGGCCGCCGAGTCAGAGTTTGAGCAGACCCAGTGGCTGGAGATGCTGCAGGAGTCAGGAAAAGTGTAAGTGCTTGAAGCCTGAGGGGCCAGAGTGGGTTGGCGAGTGGGCAGGTTCTGCCTGGAGGGACTCCCTTCGGGCATTGAGAGTCCAGAGAGCTTGGATTGTCTGCAGTTACAGGCCTCACACCTGACCAACTCCCTACACACACACACACACACACACACACACACACACATATGCGCGCACACACACACACACACACACACACACACAGTATCACGTCATTAGTGTTAGGTGTTAGGTCACCTCTTAACACCCCTTCCCTTAAAGAACTACAGCTGGGACCAGAGCGAGCGAGTGCTCAGCACCGGCTGACGCACAGCCCACCCCAGACATTTGCAATGTGACGGCCTGGGCCAGCTCCTGCCCATGCAAAGAGGCCGAGCTGTGAGTTCAGCCAAGCACGCAGGGGGTGTTCTTGCACCTGGCCCAGGGAGCTGGCTGGAAGCAATTTCATCTCGGCTTCTGAGGAATGTGGGCCTCGCCACTTGCTGCCTCCACCAGCCACCAGGCCCAGGAACTGAGACATGCGGGGTCACCAACCAGGGGGCACGGGGGCAGGTGGGAGGGGGGTGGAGGGATGGGGGTTGGAGTGTGAGCTGGGATTCAGGAAGAGCAGTGATGGGAAGTGGGAGGAGGCACAAATACCAAACACGACCTCTTTCTCCCTCCCTCCCTGTCTGAACGCTTCCTTGTCTCTTCCTCGGGTCCATCTGCCCTCCCGCCCCAGGACCTGGAAGAACGCCCAGCTCGGAGAAGCCATGATCAAAAGCTTGGAGGCCCAGGGGCTGCAGCTGGCCAAGGAGAAGCAGGAATATTTAGGTTGGCTGGATGGGTGGACGGAAGCAAGGCACCGGGGGGGTGTGGGAGCTAACGGAGGACCTGCACGCTCAGCCGGCTCCATCCTTCGCTGTGGAGAGTGTGTCTCAGGCTGGCCCAGCCTTTCTAACCTCAGCGTCTTGATCCTCGATGTGGAGATAGCGCTGTGCTTTGAGCAGAGAGGGAGCTGGGGAGGTGCTGGCAAACACGGTGCCAGCAGGTACTTGGGCCTCATACGAGCAGTTCCCATTCAGAAGTCCCCCCCAGTCCCCAACCTGCACTGCTTTGAGCTACCCCCCAGTCCCACCTGAAACCTGTCCCAGGCAACATGAGTGTTCGAGGTCGTGGGCTCCATCCCTGGCACCCCATGCCCTCACCACCAACTGTGGCTAGGATGAAAAGATAAACAACCTGGCCATAGGATCTACTGGGGGCCCCCTCCTGTCTTTCCTTCTCCTGCTACAGACATCCCCTCTTTTCCAGGACCCTGCTTTTCCCCCCATATCTTAGCCAGAGGCTTGGCCCAGGGGGTAACAGCACCCCTGAGGGTGCAGAGACACCCCTGAGCTTCTGAGGATGACACCGCCATTACCCTTCTGAACATGCAAATCAGGCACAGTGATAGGAGTAGAGAGTGGCCACTTCTGGCTACTGGGCAGGGCAGGGCCATCCTTTACCTTGGGAGATGTGAGAAGCTCTGATGGTATATGTGTGTGCTTGCTTTGGCAGACAAGCTGATGGAAGAGACAGAGGAACTCTGCCTTCAGAGGGAGCAGAGAGAGGTAGGCGCACCCCGAGGCCATCAGGTGCACCCCGAGGCCGGGAGAGATGTTACCCAGAAAGTGCCCAGCACAGAGTATGTGCTGAACAGGTCACGTGTGGGTTGGTATGAGTGATAGGCCTATTGTGCCCTTGAACTGCCCGAGACAGGAAGCTGCAGAGTGGTGAGGCTGTGGGGAAGGGCCCGAGTCTGTCTGTCCATCTGCTTTTGACCAGCTCTATTTGCTCACCCTCTCCCAGGTAAGTTGCAGAGCTGGGCCAGCAGCCTGGACTCAGCACCTGCCTCTCCCATTCACTCCGCTAACTCCTCTCCACCAGTCACCCCCTCCCTGGGCTGGCAAGCAGCTGCAAGTTGCCCTGAATGAAACCATAACTGTCCCCTGAGCTGCCCTAGCACTGGGCTCACGCTGGGTGCTTGGTAAATGTTTGTGGACGACTTACTGAGTGAGCTTTGGCTGGGCGTTTTCCCCAACAATGCTCACATGGCACCAGCACACACAATTCCAAGACAGTTCCAAGCTCAGCCAGGCCAGCTGTGCTCATGGGAACTTGCAGGGCCAGAGATTAAACTAGGGACCTCACCTATGCCAGGCATGTGCTCACCCCTTTGAGTCATAGCCCCAGGCCACTCACTGAATGAACATTTTGGACCCTTATAATTGTACATGTTATCTGCTTTGCACCCAGGGGGATCATCCGCTTCCAAAATGTGGCCAGATTTGCCTTGCCCCTTGAGCCTCAGTGTCATTGTATCAATGATTAAGATGAAAGAACACGAACAAGCGATAGTACAGGGGCTAAAGCACTTGCCTTGCACAACTTGACTGACCCTGGTTCGATCCCCATCCCTGCATATGATCCCCCTGAGCCCTGCCAGGACTGATCTTTGAGCACAGAACCAGGAGTAAGTTCTGAGCACAGCCAGGTGTGGCCCCCAAACCCAAACCAAACCACACAGACAAAAATCATTAAGAGGAAAATCATCTTAATTGTCCCCATAACCGCTGGTGACCCCAAGAGAAGGGGGTTGGGTTTTGTCACTGGTTCTCGGAGTGGGGAGCCAAGTTTGGCAGAGCACTGCCCCGAGGAGGTGACAAGCAAGAGGGGGATATGGTGGTCGCAGACAGCAAACCCCCAGTGTGTGGAGGACAGGGAGTAGGGCACTTCCCTCGACACGGGTGCCGGTGGGTGCCTTGTCTCCAGGCTCGCACCCGAGTCCCGCGCCTGACCCTGCTTTCTCCTCCCCGTGCCGGACCTTGCAGAGTGAGGCTCCTCCTGGTAGCTGGCAATTAGAGTCAGGTACTCCCCGCCACCAGGGGATGGGAGGGAGGGAGCCACGCGGGCACTGATGGAGAGAGAAAGACAGACTTACCCATCAGAGAGGCGAAATCTGGGGCAGCTTCGAGCCGGAGGAAAATTTAGACGCTCGATCTAGGTCTTTAGCCCCGAAATGAGGACACTGGAAACGTTACTGCACGGGCCTCCTGCGAAGCCTCCCTTCTCTACAGCACGGTCTGCCGGTGGGAGAGGCTTGGTCTGGGGGCACAGAATGGGAGAGCGCCTCCCGGGAACCCAGCTGTGCCCACAGCAGGGGGGGGCAGCTGTGGGCAGGCAGGAGGGAGGCGCCCAGATCTGCATTGCTATGCCCGCTGTGGGCATTCAATCTGTCCAGAGTTTTCCTTTCTTCTTTTTCTTCCTTTGTTTTTGTTTGTGGAGTAACACCTAGTGATGCTTAAGGGCTACTCTTTACCCTGTGATAAGGGATCACTTCCAGTTGTACATAGCGGGAGCCATATGTAGTACCAGGGATCAAACTGGGGTTGGTCACGTGCAGTGCAAGTGCCTTAATCCTGTACTCTCTCTCCAGAACAGTATCCCTCCTTCCCTTTCTCCCTTTCTCCCTCTTCTCTTCGTCCCCCTCCCTTCCTGCCTCCTTCCCTCCCTCCCTCCTCTCTTCCTTCCTTCCTTCCTTCCTTCCTTCCTTCCTTCCTTCCTTCCTTCCCTCTCTCCCTCTCTCACTCTCTTTCTTTCTTTCTTTCTTTCTCTCTCTCTTTCTCTCTCCCTCCCTCCCTTTCTTCTTCCTCCCTCCCTCTCTTCTTCCTTCCTTCCTTCCTTCCTTCCTTCCTTCCTTCCTTCCTTCCTTCCTTTCCTCTCTCCCTCTCTCACTCTCTTTCTTTCTTTCTTTCTTTCTCTCTCTCTCTTTCTCTCTCCCTCCCTCCCTTTCTTCTTCCTCCCTCCCTCTCTTCTTCCTTCCTTCCTTCCTTCCTTCCTTCCTTCCCTCCTTTCTTCCCTTCCTCTCTCCCTCCTTCCACTCGCCTTCCTTCCTTCCTTCCTTCCTTCCTTCCTTCCTTCCTTCCTTCCTTCCTTCCTTCCTTCCCTCTCTCTTTCTCTCTCATTTTAGAGCCACTCCCAAATGTTCTCAGGGCTCAGAGACCACTCCTGGCGGGGCTCAGGGAACTGTATGGGATGCCAGGGATTGAACCCAGGTCAGCTACGTGCAAGGGAAGTACCCTACCCACTGTGCTATTGCTCCGGACCTGTTACACATGCTTTAAATAATACAGGTTTCCATCAAATATTTCATTCCTGGCCAGCTTTTTTGTGGGGAGGTGAGGACTGGGGAAAGGCATCTGAGTGCATTTATTTCCCAAGAGGGAACGCTGAGAAGGGGGAGGCTACACGACAGTTGCCACCGTGGCCGATCCCCAGAACTGGGGGCTCCGATCTGGCAGTTTCTCTCAAAGGTGATGGTGTGGGTCAGAATGCACAGACGTAGGAGGTGGCTGGGAAGGTGAGGTCAGTACTGGGGGCCTTTGTTGGCTTCTTGGCCTGTGTATTTGGCACCTATACTCTCACACCACAGTTGCAATAAAGAGGGACATTGTCTACCATGAGATCAGAGGCAGAGGGAGATCAGGAGGGACACATGTGCTGTCCTGTGAGTAAAGCTGGTGGAAGCACTTCGGAGTATGTTTCTGCCTCTCCGGTTTATCTAGCCAGGGCATGATTCTTCCATTGAGTCTGCCTTAACTTCCTGCCCGGGAGGTTGGGGGTGACGCTGGTGGCCTCCAGTTTTTCTGTATAACATCATTCTTTGTACAAATCCCATTAAGCTCTTGGGGATTCACTAATTCCGGGTAAGGGATAAGGGGTACTTGGAAAGTATGAGGCACTGGTTCTTTGCTGGCTGCTTTTTCTTTATCTGTGTGTATGTGTTGTTGTTGCTGTTGTTGTTGTTGTTGTTGTTCATTAACATGGTACATTTTGAATTTTTCCATATAATTAAACATTTCCATATAATTAAACACAGTGGGCTTTAATGGCCATGAACAGACTAATCATATGAGATGCTTCATTGAACAGATTTTCTGGTTTTTGTTTTTGTTATTTTTAATATTTAGGCTGGTTTCACTTTTATAAATTATGCATTAATACATGAACTTTGGTCTTCTTTTCAATTTAATTTTCCTCTTCGGGGGGGCAATGATTTCTCAGGGCTTACTCCTGGTTCTGTGCTCAGGGATCACTCCTGGTGATGCCCAAGAGACCATGTGTGGTTCTGGGGATGGAACTCGAGTCATCTCCATGGAAGGCAATCATCTCAACCTCTAGACTATCCCTCTGGACCCCTCTTCTCCATTTTCAATTACAAAAATATATTCTTTTTTTTCTTTTTGGGTCACACCCGGCTTTGCACAGGGGTTACTCCTGGCTCATGCACTCAGAAATTACTCCTGGCGGTGCTTAGGGGACCACATGGGATGCTGGGAATCGAACCCGGGTCGACCACGTGCAAGGCAAATGCCCTACCCGCTGTGCTATTGCTCCAGCCCCCTAAAAATATATTCTTATGCACATTTCCCTTAGTAGTAAGGAGAATATTTTTAAGTTGGCATGTTGGAGAAAGGAGTTGTCTAGAGAGGAGAATTCAAGGGTATGTGTGTGTGTATGTGTGTGTGTGTGTGTGTGTGTGTGTGTAGGGAGGTGGGGAGTGACCTGCCAATGTTACCTGCTCTAAAGGAGCCAAAAGCTTGAGGTCTGAGACAGCCAGGTGTTTTGTGATTTGTTTAGGTCAAATCCAGGGAGTACACGGCTTAGAACTTACTCAGGACCCCTCAGCAGCCCTGGCACAGCAGGCAGTGGCCAGCAGAAAGAACCTAAGTCCAGTCTTGCAAATCCGAGCCCCAGAGGTGTTTATCATCATTAGCCATATCATGTGTCAGCAGGTGAGACTGTAGTGAGATCATAACTTTCATTCAATAAAGAATGCCAGACTGGGGAGATGGTTCAGCAGGAACCCTGGGAGAGGCTGGAGTGATAGTACAGTGGATAGGGCACTTGCCTTGCATGCAACCCACCTGGGTTTAATCCCCAGCACCCCAGTATGGTTTCCTGAGCACCACCAGGAGTAACTCCTGGGTTAGAGCCAGGAGTAACCCAGAGCATTCCCAAGTGTGGTCCAAAATCAAAACAAACAACAGCAAACAGGATCCCCAGGCTTGATCCTGACACTGCAGAGTCTCCTGAGAATCACTGAGAGTGACTCCATACACACCTCAGAAAGCATCAAGTTGGAAGCAGCCCCTGAGCACTCCGGGGGTGGTTCGAAAAACAAGGAAAAGTTGGGGAGGCCTATAAGAACAAGCATTATTGTGACCTTGCAAGTGGTGCTCAGGTGGCCCATGGCCACTCCTGCTGAGTCTTTGCCAACCAGGCTGGCAGTTGACCTGTTGTGGCCCTGCAGTGCTGGGGACCCCCAGGGCTACTCCTAGCAGTGCTCAGGGGCCATGTGGTTAGGGGAGCAAGCTGGGGTTCAGTACACAAATCCCTGTCACCCCTAGCCTATCTGCCCAGCCCCTTCCTTCCTTCCTTCCTTCCTTCCTTCCTTCCTTTCTTTCCTTCTTTCTTTCTTTCTGTTTTGCTCTTTGGGTCACACCTGGCGATGCACAGGGATTACTCCTGACTCTGCACTCAGGAATTACTCCTGGCAGTGCTTCGGGGACCATATGGGATGCTGGGAATTGCACCCAGGCAGCCATATGAAAGGCAAACACCCTACCTGCTGTGCTATCACTCAAGACCCCCCTTAATTTTTAACTGTGTATATTATTTGTTTACATGGCTATTTCCATCCAATAACACAGAAAGGAGGGCTGGAGAGATATTACCATGGCTAAGGCACTTACCTTGCACACGGCTGACCCAGGCTTCATCCCCAGCACCCCATATGGTTTTCCAAGCACCACCAGGGAAGTGACCTCTGAGCACGGAGCCAGCAATAAGCCCTGGGCACAGCTGGGTGTTGTCCCAAAACAACAACAACAACAAAGAAACAGATAACACAGAAACCCCAAAGATTTTAGTGGTTTTTCACAGCCAAGGGTCAGTTTCTCCCTCAGCTACATGGATTTTGGGAGCTAGGCTGACAGAGCCTAAGTGTTCACAGTGGCCCTGGTCACCCACGGGTCAGGGGAAGGGCAGGAAGGGACAGACCATGCTGTGCTATGTCTCTTAGGGACCTCCTCCGGGAAGGGACAGGATTTTGCTCCTGTTCCATTGGCCTCAGTGAGCCCCTTGGCCATGTGCCAAGGGGCATGAGGACAGCCATGAGCAGCCCTTGGGAGACCATTAGTGGGCCACACTGAAGTGCTCTCATGATTGGGAGGGGAAGAAAGAGCAACTGGGGGAAGAAGTTTAAGGGTGGTAGTTGGGGGGGGGGGAGGGCGTTGAAATCAGTTGAAGCTTCAGTCGATCGGTCTTCTCTGTCCCTCCTCAATCACACTGGGCACCTTTCTCACAACAGTCACTTCCTCACTTCCTGGCTGGGTTTCAACATACTGGAGCACAGAGCCCTGGGTGAAAACCGAGAATGTCATTGATTTGAGAAAGGAAGTGCATCTAGAAATAATATACCCACACCATGCTAAATGGGCCGCAGGGGTGGGGGCAGAGTTATTGCAAAGCTCCAGCCAAGATACATTTGGCCCCAGTACCAGCTGCCATTGACCTCAGAAGACAAGAGCTCCGCAGGGCACACATTTGTGCTTGTCCCTTCCTGAGGGGAAGGGACTAGCTAGACCTGTGAGGTCTGCCCTGGGCTTTCTGGCTCTCGTGTTCCCTGGGGTTCAAGCAGTAGGGCAGCTGCAGTGATCTCTGAGAACTGTTTCCCAGAAACCCAGGGAAATAGGAGACACTAGTCTCTGACGTGGGCCTAGGAATGGCTTTTATTTGCCACTTCTAATAAGTGTCACTTCAGAGATATTGAATGGAAATATACAAGCACCTCATTTTCTTTCAGGACTTGAAGTCTGTCCAACAGGCCTTAGGAAGCAAGTGACATTCCCCACCGAGTACCCAGCTAGAATTACCATCATCCCAGTTGCATGCAAGAAATAGTGTTGGGGCTGGAGCGGGTAGGGCATTTGCCTTGAACGCAACCAACCTGGGTTTGATTCCCAGCATCCTATATGGTCCTCCGTGCACTGTCAGGAATAATTCCTGAGTGCATGAGCCAGGAGTAACCCCTATGCAATGCTGGGTGTGACCCAAAAAGAAAAAAAGAAGAAATAGTTTTGGGATCATTGTTACCTTGACCCAATTTCTAAACCAGCTTATGGCCTAGAGGTGCTAAATCCCAGAGGGGCCCCCTGGAGTAAGAATGGGGGGGTTTGCCTTCCAGGGCCCATTGCTGCCCCCTGACTTGTCACTTCCTCTCTGATTCTCTTTAGGAGCTTGAACGCCTTAACCAGGTGCTGGAGGCTGAGAAGCAGCAGTTTGAGGAGGTGGTACAGGAGCTGAGAATGGAACAGGAGCAGATCAAGAGGTGATGTGGGGACCCTGAGAAGCACGGGAGGAAGGCGTACCCCACTTAGGGCAGGTAGAACCTACATTCCTGATCAGGCCCAAGACGCATCCACACATACCACTGGATGATGCTTCCCAATGCCCAGCCGGGGATTTGGCCCAGAAGGAACTATTGACACCACCTAAATGGGTCCCTTCTGTCCACGGAGCATGGGGAGATACATATAGCCATCCAACCCATCCACCCCCAAGTCACCAATCCCTCATGCCATCACCAAACATCCCTTCTCCAGGGCCAGAGAAGACCAGGCCAGACTGGAGCTGCTGTTAGTCAAGACCCCCCGTGCTTTCCGTCTTTCCAGCTCCAGCACAGCTCTTTTACATTCTGGCTAAGAAAATCCCTTGGGGTCTTTAGTCCCTGTATGACTTGCAAATGCAGTTTCACATTATAGTCATCTAAAAGATCTAGAAATCTGTATTTTTAGAAAGATGATCTGATGTAACCTATCTAGGAATTGGAGATTCCTGCTTCGAAGGGGGCTTTGAGGAGTGGCGTTTGTCATCACTGATACCCCAAGAAGGTTTTGCTCACAAACAACCATATTCTTCATCTAAGTGACAGTTATTTGACATATATTTGAGGGAAATGAGAAGCTCAGAAATTGTCTCCAGCTATAGAATCAAGCAGCTGCTCACTCAGTCCTGGCCCACAAGAGCCTCTCCTCAAGGATTTTACTGCTAACCCTGGGACCGTCAACCCTGTCATCTGGGCTAGTGGGAGAGTGGGCTCCCCTGAGCTGCAGGAATTAAGATCCGTGAGTGATTCATGTGGACTTGAGCAGAGGTTAGATGGAGTTGGGTCATGGAGGAGAGTGGGATTTGGGCATTTGGGCAGGAGAAGGAAGGTCCTTCAAACAGGATGGTGAAAGCAGGCCCCTAGCTTAGCAAGAGGAGAGCAAGGAAGGCCCCAGCCGTATTCCACTGTCAGAGTACGTGTGGGTTTTAGCAAGGGCTGTTCAGAAAAGACGGGGTGAGACTGGACCTGTTTTGTTTCTTCCACATTTCTCTGCCTATGAGGTGCCCCTGAGTTCATCCCCAGCACGCAGATGCAGGTGTAGCTGGCTTGAATGACCGGTGGCATGTGGCTGGGGTCTCTATGCAGCCTGTCAGGACTGCTATGCACAGTAGACCTGGCCTTCCCCCAGAACAGAAAGTTTGTCTTCGGACATAGGGGCTGGGCAGGGGCACGCTCTGTACCAGTGCTCTGTTCCCACAGGGAGCTCGAACTGACTGCCAGATGCCTCAAGGGTGTGGAGCAAGAGAAGAAGGAGCTGAGGCACCTCACAGAGTCCTTGCAGCAGACACTGGAGGTGAGGGGGCCGCTTCGGGGCAGGCACAGGACCTGAAGGGGCAGAGGCCTCAAGAGTCTCTGCTCTGTGGACGCTTGGCACTTCCAGCTGGGACACGAGGCCCAAAGCTCTCAGGCTCATCCTTACTGTGACAGAGACCTCAGGAAACCCACCTTCCTCGGTGCTGTGTTTTTCTAGGCAGATCAATTGGGGTGGGCCCTGGTGGCTCCCACCTCTTCCTTCTTAAGTCTCACTCTCTTGGCCGCTCAAGGTGAAACTGAGCTTGGGGGCAAATCAGCTGCCAGGCCCATCTGACACTATGGAAACTGTGTGCGTAAGGGAGGGGAGAGGGTGCACCATGCAGACCTCTTAGTAAGATGACCTGCAGGTCCCAGCCTCAGCCTCTCCTCGCTCCTGCATCCAGTGCAGACACCCAGATCCCGACACAAGACAAGCTCCTGGGAAGCCGAGCTCTTTCCCAGCACACAACTCAGGCTACACTGTTGCTTCTACATGCCCCCTCCCACTTTGCTCTGTCTGAGAGCACCCCTGTCTCCCCAATCCAGGCTCTCTGGCTCTGTTGGCTCTGAGAGCTGGTCTCCTGCAGCGCTTTGTACACTGTGATTTCACTTTGAGTTCGTGATTGCCAAACTGTGAACTTCACTAGACTGAGTCTTCCGTTGTCTCCAACCCCACACCCAGAGTGAGCCTGGCTGGTCCTGCGGGAGGTGTTGCAGTCACCCAAAGCAGCAGGGCCTTGCGGGCTGGAGCGCGCCTGCGCCCTCTGCCGACTGGAGCTTGGCCTGCAGTGCACGGGAATCTAGTCCACAGCTTGGAGGTGCTGTTTAGGGAGTCCCTGCTCCAGGGTGTCAGGGTGTGTGTGTGTGTGTGTGTGTGTGTGTGTCTGTCTGTCTGTCTGTCTGACTGACTGTGTTTGCTCTGGGTCTGGTTTCTGTTGAGTGTTTTTCACAAGAACGTAATACAAGCCCCTCAGCCCCAGAGGGATGGGGACCCTCGGAAGCCACGGTGTTCCTGGGCCTTGGGTTCATTATAGGTGTTGTTTCCCCTTGAAGCTGCCCTAAGCTCCTCACATCTCTCATTCTATGAAGAGTGCGCTCCCCTCACTGTGAAATCTTGGCTGGCCCTTTGCCTCACGGAGTTGTGTATGTGTTGGGGCAGGCTGGGTGGGGGGAGGCTGTCCAGCAGCAGTTTTCAATATTTTTTCCACCTATGGACTGGTTTGGTCCACAGACTGTTGGATAGGTTCTCAAACTTACTTCACCCCACCCATTCCAGGATTCAGCATTCCTGGGGAATCTACCTTCTCTAAGGGGCCAGATAGAAAGCCCCAATTGAAATCCTTCAATTGCGCCCAAGGTTACGACAGTCATTCCAGAACCCTGCAGCGGCAGGGAGGGGTCGGTATCAATATCCCATTTTGGGAAACCCTGTGAGAGACTCGGAGGACTCAGTGAGGACATCACTTCCTGGAACTGATGGACAGAAGAGCGCTGCCGGCCTGACACCTTCTCCTGACACACTCTCCTTCCCTCCCCCATGCCAGGAACTCTCCATCGAAAAGAAGAAAACTCTGGAAATGCTGGAGGAGGAGACCGAAAACCAGCTGCAGACACCAGCCGATCAGAGTGAGCAGCCCCCTCCCAGCGAGGGTCTCCACAGCAACCTCAGGCAGATCGAGGAGAAGATGCAGCAACTGCTGGAGGAGAAGCTGCTGGCAGAGAAGCGGTAGGGACATGGGACCCCTGAGCTCACAGGGGTGTGGGGCCTGCCGACCATCCTTGAGCTAACTCGTGTCCTCTGATTCCATGTGGCACTGACCGGAAGTTGCAAGGGTGGCTCACTTTGCTCCCTGGGACTCAGGTTCCACACACAGCAAGTGGGAAGAGAACTTGTATTACCCAGAGCTGACCTGAAAATGATGAGAACCATCCTGGGTCCGTACAACAGAGCTTGGCTGAGGCTGGGCAGGTCCTAGGCACCTCCATTTACAGCTGAGAAAACAGAGCCTTAGAGGAGTCGAGCACTTCCTCTAGGACACAGAAACAACAAGCCCTGAACCCAGAACCCCAGCCTCCAGCTGACTCCAGCCCTGCAGCTGGTCGCAGGCCTCCTCAGCCCCACTATCTCCGGAAGCCACTGGGGTTCCATGAGCCTGGGCCTTAGGGTGCCTCCAGTCAGGTCCCTGCTGGGGGCCGCATTCCACTGGAAAGCCCCTTTTGGCAAGCTATAGCTGAGCCGAGGCCTCCTCCGGGCAGGATGAAGGAGAATGAGGAGCGCTCGCGGGCCCTGGAGGAGGAGCGGGAATTCTACTCCAGCCAGTCCCAGGCGCTGCAGAACTCGCTGCAGGAGCTGACGGCAGAGAAGCAGCAGGCCGAGCGCGAGCTCAAGGTGCGGGAACAGCACTAGGGGCCTTGGGGGAGGGTGCGGAGGCCCAGGCCTGGCCCTTGAGTCAAGGGCAGGAGATGGCAGATCGAAGGCCATGACTTGCAGTCAAGTCCAGAGGCAAGGGAGGCCCCCAGAGTGGGGCAGGTGAGGGAAGGATTTCGGTGGGGGAGGGGGTCTGGCCTTTGTTCCGGAGCACCCCCACTTCTCTCTTCCCTCTCCCCTCAGGCAGAGGTGAAGGTCCGCATGGACCTGGAGAGGCGACTAAGGGAGGCAGAGGGGGCCCTGCGGAGCCTGGAACAAGGACTCAACTCCAAGGTGCGGAACAAGGAGAAGGAGGAGAGGATGCGGGCAGACGTGAGCCACCTGAAAAGTAAGCCCTGCGTGAGGCCCAAGAGATAGGACGGGGTTAAGATACACAGGACCCAGCTTCCATCCCTAGCATCCTATATGGTCCCCCAAGCACCAGGAGTAAGCCCTGAACGCAGAGCCAGGAGCAAGGCTTGAGTACTGCTGGGTATGGCCCAGAAACAAACAATAAAAGCCCTGCCCTCCTGTGTCCAAATGCCCAGCTGTGGAGCTGAGCCCCAACCCAGGGAACCCCAAATAGTACCTAGTACCTTTGTAGGATGCACTGAGTGGTCCCAGAGACTGATGGGACATCTTCCACAGGCTCCTGGGAGAACTTCCTTTAGACTATTGGATCTAGGCTGTGACAGGGGCCAAGGGAGCTTAGACTGTCCTGGGCCCCTTCATCAGCGCGTTCTGTCACCCTATTGCTGGAGCCACCTACTTCCTATTCAGTGCCTAGCGCTGTGGGGAGGGCAGGGTGGGCGGGCATGAAGGAGAGCCCACAGCCCTGCACACGCGGCCACAGGGTTCTTCGAGGAGTGCATCCGGAACGCGGAGCTGGAGGCCAAGATGCCGGTCATCATGAAGAACTCCGTGTACATCCACAAGGCAGCCACCCGCCGCATCAAGAGCTGCCGCTTCCACCGGCGCCGCTCCAGCACCTCCTGGAATGACAGTGAGTGTAGCTGTGGGCTTCCTCCAGGGGTGAGGCTGGGGATGGAGGTCCCAGGCTGGAAGACAGCTGATGATGTCCCGGGCATGGACACAGCTGGCCCAGCTCTGCAGCCTGACTGTGCTACCTGAAATCTGTTGAGTACCTAGAGGCCTGAGGATGGCAGAGGCTGGAAATGGGGAGGAGCCTGGTAAGATGGGCGGGACCCAAGAACGTGGTTTGATGCCCAATGGGTGTAATTTGAGAACTGGTGGGCGTGGTTTGAATCCAGCGGGCGGGGCTTGGGTGAGTGGGTGGGCCTTGGGGGCAGATTGACTGGTGGGCGGGGTTTTGTGGTTGGTGGGCGGGGTTTGGATTGGTGAGCAGGGTTTGGAGCCTGGTGGATGAAACCCTCAAGGTGCTGCTGCCTCCACAGTGAAGCCCTCGCCATCCCTCCTGACCTCCCAGCTGGAAGCCAACAACGTGGAGGAGCTGAAGGAGGTGGCCAAGCGGCTGAGCCGCGACCAGCGCTTCCGGGAGTCCATTTACCACATCATGAACACCCAGCCCGGAGCTCCCGCAGCCCTTCCCCGAGGGGGAAAGTGATCCACCTCCTGGCACCCCTCCATATCTTGACTCAGTGGGGCTGCAGGGGATGGCGGTACAGGTCTGGGTTCCCCTGAATGTTCTCTGCTCACCTTCCGGGCCTGAGCTCCACCGGAAGGCCAGCCTCACCCTCAGAGGACAGGGGCACACGCCTGCCGTCACCCCACCCCAGCCCTTCCCTCTGATCCTCACCCACGCAGGCCCGAGTCCCACTCGGTGTTGTCTGGTTGCCACGGTGAGGTGAGGAGGGGCCGGTTGAAGAGTTGAGGAATGGGGTGATCATGGCCACTGCCCTCTCTTGGGGCCTCTGCACCTCTCTGTGATGCTGTGGCCTGTCTGTACTCCCCACCTTGACTCGGGCCTTCCCCCGCCATCCTGGGGAACCCTATCTTTGCTTCTGAGAGTCATAGGTATTTATCTGAAGATGCATTGTGGGGAGGAGAGAGACCCTGGCAAAGCAGCTTCCGGGTCCAACAGCTGGCAGAAAGCCACTGCCAGGGGTCGCTCCTCAGCACAGAATCAGGAGCACAGAGCCAGGAGCAGCCCCTGGGCACTTGACACTCCCTACCCACCCTAATCTCCCCACTCCCCAGCCCCCAACCTGGCACCACCACTCACTCAACTTCCTCAGGTGAACCTACGCCTTGCAGCCTCAGCACTGTACAGAATGAAGTGACCCCCTCCCCAAGTCTCACTACCCCCTGTAGCTAGCACAGGGTGGGGGCCGGGAGTTGGGGCCAGCAGCCGTGCTGAGGGCCCCACTAGCAACTAGCTTGGTCTGTGGAGGGCAGGGTGACCACTGCCTCTGCTCTGATGGACCTGGCTGGACTCTGGGATTAGATGGCTCCCAGGGGCTCTGGCTTCAGAACCTGGCTCCCCCCCAACTCCACCCCCAACAGGCTGTACTAAGTGAAACAATGTAATCATGTACCCTGAAGGTGGGGGACCCAAAGCCCATGGTAGGACCAGCTACCATTGGCCAGGCCCATGTCATCGTGATCGAAGCTGAAATGTCATCACATGCAGCTTTTCTGGAAGTCTGCCACCCCCAGAAGACAGAGGCTTGCCCCAGCTGTGTGCCCTCACCCCTTGATCGACAGCTGACCCTGCTGGTCTCCTTCACACCCACCCTTCGAAGCTGCAGGCACCTAATGGGCCTCTTCAGAGAAGGGGTCTGCAGGCTGGAGACCTATCACAGGGGTTCAGGCACTTGCCTCAATCCCCAGCACCACATATGGCCCCCTGAGCTCCAGCAGTTCACTCCTGAGCACAGAGCCAGGAGTAGCCCAGAGCACCACCCGGTGTGGCCCCCTGGGGTTGGGGTACTCAGGGACTCTGGTGGGATGAAAGGTGCTGACTTGCTGCTGCTTGGAAAATTTCCGTCTGAGCAGTGGCTGCAGCAAGAGATGCAAGCCTGAGAGCCTGCAGCAGACCTGAGAGAGGAGCCTCGCTGGCCCAGAACTGCTACCAGGTGAAGCTCCCAGGTCTCTTCCGGCGTGTCAGCTTTACGATTCCTGATTCCATCTTCAGAGTCCAGGCAGGAGGGCTAGAGGATAGCACAGCAGGCAGGGTGCTTGCCTTGCACGCAGCCAACCCGGGTTCGATTCCTGGCATCCCTTATGGTCCCCTGTCTACTACCAAGAGTAATTCTTGAGTGTCTAGCCAGGAGTAACCCCTGAGCATTACTGGGTGTGGGCCCTAAATAAATAAACAAAAAGTCCTGGTGGGGACATCAGTGCACTGAACAGGGTCTGAATGTAAAAGCTTTAAACCCGTAGAAACCTGCGTAAGTCTGGATCTCATTTATCTAACCTGTATAAAGGGTAGTCTTGGAAACAAAGGGGGAAATTTCCAAAACCAAGATTACTCTTAAATTATTTTAAAATTACCTCTTGGCGGTTTGCTCTTGGATAAAGAGAGCTCTTGGAAATTTATGAATGCAGTCTCCCCCGGGAAAGCTATTAACCAGAAAGGAAAATGCTTTTCCATCCGCACTCCCCACTCTCTAACTCCTTCCTTCCTATTTTACCCTGATTTTCTATACCACAGGCAAATCCAGATAATCTTTAACTATATCAGGTACCAAGCCCTGTCAGTAGAAGAGAGAGAAAGAGAGAGCCATGTCTCTATATGAATATATGTGAGGGTATAAATTGCTTACTGGGAATATATAATGATGTGATTTATAGCACATAAACAAAACTGTTATTCCTAGGAGAATGAAATGTTTCCTACTGTAGCTCTTGCGGGTCATCGCTGGAGAGCTGGTGCCCCCTGAAGGCTTATCTTGGAATTACAGCATTGCCTGCTTGTGCTCTGCCAGGAACACAGCGTTCTCTCCACAAAGTCCTCCAGGAAGTAGAATCTTGATGATTATCTGGAGAATCTGTATCCCAGCCTGCTGTGGTCCTAGCTGTGCCACCGTAATAAGGACCATCAGCTGGATTTTCTTCTGATTTGAGCTTTCCCTGGACGCATAGGGCACTTTGCACTGTGGGAATAGCCTCAGTGAGACATAGATAACTGGTCCCCACAGAACAGAGTCACCTGCTTCGATGAGGTAGATTTATGCTTTTGTAATCATCTGGGGGAATGTTGGGCTGGAGAGATTACAAAGGGTGCTTGCCTTGCGTGAAGCTGTTTCTGGTTCGATCTTCAGTGTTACATGCGACCCCCAGAGCACTGCCAGGTGAAAATATAAGACAGAAGGAGGGTCCGCTGCCTGTATTCATTCTCCGGAGGGATACCAGCTTTGTCACCCTCTCCCACCAGCTCCCTGTGATTCCCACAGCCTCAGATGCTCTCTAAGTGAAATCCTAAGCCTGCAGCCAACGGACAATGAGAGCAAGACAGAAACTTGCCTAGGTTTCAGGATGAGTCCCATCTAACTGGACTCTAGTTATTAAACCCTTGCATGAAGGAGGTGCCTGCAGTCCTCAGATTAAAGCCTGGCTGCCCCCAACGGAGACTGTGATGAGCTAGGAAGTGCTCAGGCCCCCTAGCCACTGCAAGGACTCCCCTCTGGCCCTCAGCATCATCAGAAACCCTGTGATTTAACTCTTGGTTTCAAGACTACTGACTTCTCTTTTTATCACATAACCTCATTGAGCAAGGTTGAGGGATGCCATTTGCAAGGTTTGGGGGAGATGATATGGTTGTTCTTGCTGCTTGAAAAGAGGGGTCCACTGGGAGAAACTGATCCTTCCTTGGATACAGGTAGGTGAGTTGAAGCACCATAGGTTCAGTCTCCTGCCTCTTGCTATACCCCTCTCCACTTCCCTTCCCTTGACTTTGGCTCCTTCCCCTTCATCAATTTTTTTTTTTTTTTGCTTTTTGGGTCAGACCCAGCGATGCACAGGGATTACTGCTGGCTCTGCACTCAGGAATTACCCCGGCAGTGCTCGGGGGACCATATGGGATGCTGGGAATCAAACCCGGGTTGGCCACGAGCAAGGCAAGCGCCCTACCCGCTGTGCTATTGCTCCAACCCCTGTTTTGTTTTGTTTTTGTCTTGAGGACTCACCTAGTGATGTTCAGGTTTTACTCCTGACTCTGCACTTGGGAATTACTCCTGGGAATGCTCAGGAGAACATATGGGATGCTGGAGATCAAACCTGGGCTGGCCATATGCAAGACAAACACCCTACTGTACTATCGCTCTGGCCCCAATCTGCTCTTTATCGTCTTCCTCATCTCTATTCTTCCTTCCTCCTCCACCTCCCTCTGTCTCCAACTCTTCCGTCCTCTCCATCCTGCTGGGCTCAGGGGAAGTTTAGGAAGAAGTTCAAGCTTGAAGCTTGAGATCCCTGAGGGGTGTTGGGCTCTTAATCAGTGAAACCCTCCTCAAGGTGACTTCCTATATGATGCAGTCACAGTGGAAATACATAGCATTCTTCTTTGTGGGGGCAGGCTTTTTTTGAGTAATGCCCAGCAATTGTGATTGTCAGGGGTTGCTCCAGGCTCTGTGCTCAGGAATTACTCCTGGCAGCGCTCAGGGGACTCTATGGGATGCTAAAGATTGAACCCGGGTTGGCCACATGCAAAGCAAATGCCCCACTGCTGTACTATCACTCCAGCCCAATGCATAGCATTCTGAGTAGCTCTCTAGCCCTCTGGCTTTGCTTCTGGGTGAAACTTGACCATCAGGCAGAAAAGTCTGGGTGAGTGCAGGTTGCTGGAAGATGGAAGAGGTAGCTGCAGAGCCCATGGTCTGTGTCAGGGCCTCAAGCTCTCTGACCCTGCCTTGCTCTCCATGGGGTACCTGCTGCCTGCAGTGGGTCAGCTCAACTGTCCCAGCTCTATTCCTGACATCAACCAGGACTAGAGGGTCTGGGTTCCTCACTGGCCACAAGCAGACCCCCCTCCCACCCCAACCCCCAAGGAATCGAACCAAGGTAGGTTACGTGCAAGGCAGCACCTTACCCCTTGTATTCTCTCTCCAGCCTCCAGAGTTCATTTTTGCAAGATGAGGTCGTTCTGGGTCTGGTTACACAATAATTTTTGTTTGTTTTGGGTTGGTTTAGGCCATACCCAGCGATTCTCAGGGGTTACTCCTGGCTCAACTCTTAGGAATTACTCCTGGTGGTGCTTGGGGGATGCTATGGGATGCTGGGATCGACCTCGGGCCGGCCGCATGCAAGCATCCTACCCACTGTATTATTGCTCTGGCCTCAATGAGAATCTACTTGACATTAGTGTTTTTGAACAATGTCATCAGCAAAGCAGAGGTGGTATAGTTGCCGACCATCTATCTTCACTCCCATTCCTTCCCATTCCAGTCATCACATGATGTTCTCGAGGGTGGCACTGAAGAGTTTCGGTGAAATGGTATCACCCTGATGAACCATGCACTTAGAATGGTTAAAGTCATGGGGAGTCTGGTCATCCTCCACCCCCATGACCAGACACTACCTCAGCCTAATGCCACAGTGCAGGGAGGGGATGTCCCACAGGGAAAGTCTGGGTCGAGCTTGGTCTGGTACTCACTGAGGCATTTGATAAATTGCTCTATAAAACATGTTCTAGATTTTTATTAGACAGGACAAAGA